CCCAGTGGAAATTGTGTTGTGGCTTTTGGGGGGCAACTGCATCTTCCCAACTGCATCTACAAATTCAAGCACGACCACCAAAGCCAGTGCAGCTGAAATACAGCTCCTGTTGCCTTTGCCTACCTTCCCCTCACGTACAGCCACTGTCAGCAGGGTACATGTCACTTCTGCTTCAAGCAGGAGAACGAAGCCAATACTGTGCTACAGCTCGCTGAAGCACTTACTTGGCCCCTGTTATTAGAGAGTCTGAGCCCTTCACTCCTCCTTCCAGCTGTCCTCACTGTGCCCCAGGTGGCATGGCAATGCTCCTATCTTTACACTTCAGGCAGGAAACAGAGCACAGAGAGAAATGCCATTTGTCCAAAGTCTTGAGAGGTCCATGTCAGAGCAAGGAACTGAAGCCCTTTCTCTGAGTCGGATTAGGCTCTAACTATCAGACTTTCTATTTCCCTTCCTTCACCTCCCAAATCCCTGGTTGTTTTTCCTCACCATGCTATGAAGCTTGCTTTGTGCAAAGAAGACTTTTTATTTCGCTCTTCTTTTGCTCAACTGTGAATTCAGCTGCATCTTGACCCATGCACAGAAACATAGGACTCTCTCCTATTTGAACCAAAGCCATGTTCAGAGCTTTTTTGCCTGCACAGCACCAATCTGCAGGTGGGATATTGTTGGCACCACAGAGGCTCTCACCAAGGAGCCCAAAGCTGCCTCTTTGCATCCCATGTTCTCCCTTTTTCCCTCGGGCATGCTTTGGCACTAGCATCACTGGGGTGGTCATGAGCCCTTTTGTAGGAAGCAATCTGATGCAGAGGAGGCATCACTGTCTCACTTAGCCCCACACTAAGTCCCCCACAGGCTGCCTTGTCTCTGCCGCCGGCACAGCCCGTGGGTCAGCAGTGCAGCCCTGCGCCAATTAAGCCATGCAGCACAGCAGGGTGTGTGTTCCTTGGCCATCACAGCCTCCCTTGGACACTGCAGAGAAAAGGCTGAGGCTTAGCAGTGTTAGCCTTCCAAGAACCGCTTTAATTGCCCAGTAATGCACACCCTGGGGTCTTGTAATGTGCTTCTAATATGGAGCATTTAAAATATGAATACGTCAAAACAATTACAAGGAGTTTGGTGCTCTGCTGGGTGTATCCTTCCACTCAGAAAAATAATCCATGACAAAGGAATATGATGAAAGTGAGGATACCAGTGCTTTCTAAAGTCTGGCAGGGTCTCCTTGGGGCAGCAGGACACAACACTCTTCCCCTTAATGCAACTTTACTCTGTTCTTCCAAGATTAAAAGAATCACTAGACTGGGGCTCCAGATGCTTCAGACCTACCTCATTTCCCTCTGATCAGCCCTAGCATGGTTTTGTTTTAATTTGAGATACTGTCTAAAGACTCTGTCAGCAATAGTAAGAAAGGAGAAACCACAGAATATGTGAGGCTCTAAGAGAGTTTGGATAGAAATGTCAGAGAAGCAAGGGGCATTTCCTATGATCTGTTATTCTTTCAGCAAATAATTTCTGACAGGTTTAGAAGTGATTTTTTAGTTGCTTACTTATAAAGAGTGTAAGAAAGTTCTGCTTCTCAGGAAGGATTATAGCTTCCCTAATTTATCTTCTAGTGTTTCTCTACATTCTTGACCAAATTTAATTAGAGCTTGTTACAACTTTCATACTAGAAGAGATGGTTTTTGTCTGTCCATCCGTATTCAGAATCAGCAAAAGGAATGGCGTTAGAAGTGCTGAAAATGATGAAATAGAAATCAAACACTGGAAATTCACGATCTAATGCTGAATGTTTAAGAAAGTCAAAGGCATTTGGAAACAGGCAGTTAGTTTCAGCTGGAGCTGTATGCAGTATTAACTCTAGAAAGAGTTACTACAAGCCGACTATGGTAACTCATGAATTTCAGGAATGGATGTATAATTCACAGTATGATACTAGGTACTGTAATGACATTATATGACATTACTTAAGATAATATCGCATATTAAATTCAGATTGTGAAATGAAGTTCAGTTGCTTTACTGCAATCAAAGATCTATAAATGTCCTGTTGCTGAAACCTCAGAAGTATTGTATTAAATCTGTGTATATTCTCTGAAACTCAAAGTAGACAACTTGTGCAAAAAACTCCCACTGGAAATGAAAAATGGGAATTTGCAGTAAGTACCAGTTTGTGCCCCTAATTAAACACAAATATGGTTTTTGAAGTCACTGACTGTGATGGAATTAGAGCAGGGATGAATTTAGTCCTAAGTGACAATTTCTTTTGGAGAAAAAAAGAGGCGTTTGAAATACTGGCATTTACCTCAAGAAATTAGCACTTCTGACTGGTGTTCCAGGATTTGTGTGCCTAATGCTTTTGGGAAAGGCTGAGGAAGCGTTCTGCAGAAAGGCTTGTCTTTGTCCAGTGTCTGAAGGCAAGGAGAAGCCATCAAAGGCAGCAACAGGTGAGCAAGGTTTTGCTCCCTCTTACACAGCAGTAATCCAGAAAGCCAAGGTTTGAGGCAGCAGAGCTGGCTTAGTGTGTATTTCAGTTTCCAGTAAGGGTGAGAAGCTTTCAGCAATCCCCAAGTTTAAAGAGAGCATTATTATGCTGCGTCTGTTGCTACAGGACCAGGTCAGCTGTGTTCATCTTTCATCTGCTGTTTCATTAGGTGGTCTTGTGTAGGACAGACTCACTCAAAGCCTCTTAAAGCAGCAGCAGCAATGCCCAGCTATCCTGCTGTTTATCACTGTTCCTAAATGAATTGATCCAGAGGGATGCAGTGCTGTATTCCATACTGAGTGTTAGGGTCCTGAAATTTCTCCTATTTCCTTACAACACTAGAGTTCAGTCACGACTATAGGGCAAGGAAGAACCACTGGAGAGAGCCTCTTCATGACTTGCTTCTTCTTTTAGTCATAGGAAATGCCTTCTACCTGAGACTTCAGGTAGATTTGCTGTGCATTTGATGCCAAGAATTATTTGACCTAAGACACTGGAGGTTGCACAACAAGAACTGCTCCCCTTTGCTCACTGTTTCCAGACACTTCCTCTTGACATAAAACCAGTTTCATGCTTGGGAGGGGAACATCTTTGAACAGAGCCTTTTACCTCTGGGTCACTATCTGAAATCTGGCCCTGGTTGGTAGTGACCAAAAATCATTACCAGCTGATGGCTACTTGGGGAAATGAGCTGGTGAGTCTCATTCCAGTTCTTAATGGACACATCTCAGCAAACACAGTCACAATGGGCACTAACTGGCATTCTCAGCTGAGAGACCACAAACTGAACAGCGAAGGAAACTGAACCTTCCTCTTCATCCCACCGCCTGGCTTTCTGAAGCATTACGGACAGGCATTCTATACCACCGTTGTTTCATGGGCTGAGTTTACTCTAAATGGCTTTTCAAAACTTGGCCATTTTTGTGCAGCATGATTCAGCACAGCCTGATCGACCATCCCAATATAATTAGGCTCATCTATGGTTCGCCTCAGTAGAAGCTGAGCTGTCTGATCCCACCTCCCAGTATGAATGGCAAATCTGATGTCATATCTCAGTATGAATGGAACTCTCTGATGTCACCTCAGTGCTAACAGGACATTTTACAATATGACATCTAAGGCTGCAGGGGAGATCTTCTAATCCATTCACTGTGCCACACTACACTAGAATATAACACAGTATAATGTGTAGGTTAACTTAGGCACCCTCAGGCAAATTTTGGATAGACGGACAGATGGATGGATGGATACATTTATACAAAGTATACATACATTATATCACTCTATTGATTTTTAAAAAGTTCCAGGTCTGCCTGGCTATAATGAGATTTTTGAACTTTGTGTTGCGATCAATGAGGGGAATATTATTGGCCTGGAGAATTGATATACCCGCTCTCTGTGGCTTGTTCTGCTCCTGGACTGCCCCTGCCCCCAAGGTGTACGATTCCATCAGACACTTAACCTCTTTTACAGTGTCATCAGGCTAAAAGGAATCTAATAGTGACACGGGACTTGTGCTCAGCACTCTGGCACTATTGCTTTCCTGTCACAAATAATTTATAGCTTTCTATTTCCATCCCTTTGCCTGCACCCCATCCCCTTTTTCTGTTTCTCTGGGCTGGGGGAAATCAATAAACTCACACAACCAGAGTGGCACTTCAGGGGGTTTTAGGGGGGATATCAGAGAAGAGAAAAGAACAGAAAAAAACAGAAAAGAAGAAAAAAGTTGTATTATTTGCCCTAGCACAGACTTCTCAGATCAGCTCCTCAGCTAGTGCAAATCCGCATGACCTCAGAATCTGGCCCTGTTGTGAGGTCCTCGGGCACCTTCTCTATAGGTCCTCAGAAGCTATATATTAGGGCCCTTCATATCACTGACCTATATGGGGTGAGGACCTGGGCCTCCATCCCCAGCTAGAACCTTGATATTTCCTGTCTCCAGCTACGTCCCAGGCAGCCTCTCTGCCACTCCAACAACTGTCCAGGCTTCATTATGTGTGTATCAGAGTTTCTTAACACACCGAGGTGATACGCTATGAAAAACCTTTCTTTTCCTAAGAAGGTTTCAGTCTCAGGAGTTGTGCTTTTTCAAAAATGCCCTCTCAACATCTCTGCCTATCTCTATCCATGCCATACCACCCACTAGCCACACATGTGCTCTTTGAAGTTTTGCCAACTTATTATTTAGAGTGAATCTTTAAGGGAAGCTCTCTCTTGGGTGGGCAAGGAGTTATTTGTTTTCATTTTCTGGAGAGATTTTTTCGGAGAATTTAAAGCTAATATAATGCAGGGCTGAGTGTTCCAGAAACTCAGGCTGAAGAGCATCTGCAGCCTTCACCCTAATTGGAAAGGCTTGTTTTAATCTCAGAAAGGAATTTGGTCTCGATGGCCTTTGCAGGTCATGGCTTATTTGCCAAGTTCCTTGGTGAGGCGGTTGTTCCTGAGTCACACACCATGCCAGTAGGCAGGGACCTTGCCAGTCAAGTAGTAGGTGCTAGTGATTTTCTTTCACCACTGACCTCAGCTGGATTTAAACCAGTGACCTAGAGGTGAAAGATTTCATGTAACAAGAAATAGAGCACTGACAATTACAGTTCACTTTATTTTCATTCTGAGCTGTATTATGAGCTTTGTGGGATTCACTGAGACATCTTCTTGAGTTCCCATTCTCAGTGCATTCACCTCCTGATAAAGACCAATTTTTGCCCTCTTTGCTGGAGCTTCTTTTTCCTGGTTAACTATATCCCATCACCACTCCCTGTGGATGCCTTCTGCTCCTACCTTCTCATTTATGAAGGGCAAGGGCTTTGGGCAAGCCTTCCATCAGTTCAAAGCATTCAGCATTCAGTTCTATGCCAGAAAGGTATCTTTTAGGCACACAATAAAATTAAATCTACACTGCTTGTAAATCCAGCAGTGGATCTATTGTCTGCAAAGACTGCCTTGTGTTCATGCTGTCAGATCAGGTCATAAATGATAATGTAGTTGCTAACACACAGGACATCCTGGCTTGTTACCTGAGCACTACAGTTTTGCAGCGAATACCCAAGTTTGGGAAAAGATGAGAGAGCAGAGCAAGGACAATCCCCTGGGAACCAGACCATTGAAGCAGTAGAGTCAGGACTGCGAGAAGGCAAATAAAGTCACTCTGCTGCTCCCAGAGCTCAGGCCAGACCTTCACGTTCTGATCTGGGATTGTGGGTATGCAAAGGCACAGAGAAGTTGCAGTTGAGTTCTGAATGTGTTTTGCTCTTTTTCAGGATCATCAGAACCAAAGTTCAGCAACCTTTTCACCCAACACCAGATGGAAGCGGGACAGGTGTGACTGCACCAGGACATACTATTGGTAAGAAGATTGGCATGAGGGGTGGTGATAGGACAAGTGGAAATGAGGATGATGCTTAGTTGAGGGAACGAAGTCTGACAAGCAGATGCTAAACAGAGCAAAAGGGAGGATCAGTGGAGGGGGAAAGAAACCTCAATGGAAATCAGAGGTTTCTGTTCGTTTCCCTCATTGCATTGCAGAGAAAGGAATCACGGCAGAGAAAACAGGCCAAGGTAGGGGTTTGCCCAAAGTGATTCTGCCTTAACATACGTTTCATGTTCATGCTCTTTCCTTAGCTTCTCTAGGGAGAAGTATTTACCACTACCCTGTTTAAGCATCAGTCTTCAACTGTTGTCTCCTTCTTAATCTGATTCAAAAGAGAATCCCTCACGCTTTCTTTTCTCTCTCTTTGTTGGAACTGGCCTATTTCTTAGAGCTAGTAAAGCCAGACATGGTTAAGATATTCCTGATGCCTCATAACTGAGCTCTTCATTGTTCTGGCTCTGCAGTAAGGTATCCTATGGGTGTATTTCACTGAGAAAATGAATTTTCTGCTAGGGGAGATGGGTTTATCAAGGTGAGCAAAAGATGAAGGCTATAATAAAGTGACCAAATGTGTTTAAAGATACTGTGCTAGATGTGCAATGAGGTAGTTTTTACTCTGTGGGCTGTTTGGTGTGTATGTTGCTGTAGCTTTATCCAGTAACACTTCAGAGCAGGAAAAAACATGCAATATTTTGGGATACTGTGATATACAGTGTCTTATTCATGGCCTAAGACACTGTCTGAAATACTGTTGGTTACTGAGAATTAGCTGCTATACAAGGATTTACTGGAGAATACAAAGATTTACTGGAAAGTGATGGTCTACATGGGACACAGCTGGCAGATATAATTCTGTACATGAATTGTGTTCTGGAGCACAGTGAAATTAATGGACTAGTATGGAAGAGCATTTCTGGATGGCCTTTTAATCTGGACTTGCTCATTGGACTGGGAATCACTAACTACAACAGATGGAGCTAGCAGGTATTATTTCTTCTTGGAAAAGTAGTGCATGTCTAGGGAAAGCATTGGCTGAGCTGGAATAGTGATTGCGATTTCTGACACTGGAGTGTCTCATTGCTCTGGGATGAACTGGGAAGTGTGGGTCTACATTGGATATTGTTGACAGGTTCTCCTCCATCCAGGAAGGCTTGCATTGGAGGTATTGATTGCTTCAGGAGAGTGCTTTATGAGTTGAATGATGGGTAGTGGCCTGCAAGGGACTTGGGATATTCTCCCCATTACTGGGACATGCTGGGACATAACAGGCATGCCTACTGGATGCATAGCTCTACTTGTTCTGTACTCGAAAGCCCTGTTTATCATGAAGTGATCATTTCTAACCTGTATGACTTGTCATTTCTGATACATTGGAAACCCATGAGCAGTCTTGGGCAGCCCTGAGTGGCAAGAGGAATCTGCCTGTTGACATTGGTCAGTACAAAAAGGACACACTAGATTTTTATTAGTCTGGGTTGGAGTATGTATCATCAACTCACCATTTGTTCCAGTAGGGAACTGAATTTATTGGACCAACACTGAAGTACTTCTAACCCTATGCTCTCAATGAGTGTTTTGGATGGACATGTAAGAGGCTGGTCTGGCTAAGACAGAACATGTGAACTCCTGGTGGAAAAGTGCTGAGAGAAAATGATCTGGCAAAATATGGATGGACTAGGAAATCACTAGAGAATGTGGGCTATGCACCATTGCGCTCCGTTACCATGGCACGCACTGGGAAGCCTGCTCTGAACTGGGATATAGCAACAAGGTTTAGTTAGCTTCTTGATGGAATACACTTGCTTGTTATTAATGGCCCTATACTGGAAGGTGGTTAACTTATGGTATAGGAATGGACTGGCAAAGCTGGGATGCAGCAATGTTAGCAGTAGAACAAGTATGAGTCTTTCAGTGTGAGGGACTGGAAGTCTACTTAGTGCCCAGGCTTTCCTATGAGACTGGTGGCATGTGTAGCTTTCAGCTGGAGGATCCCTGAGTGCTGTGCTGCTCTCCTCATGGCCCTTTTTCCCTTTTCCTTTTGTCCAGTGCCCAGCACAGCATCCCCTCCCGTCTCCAGTGCCTCCAATGATCCAGTGGGCTCTTACTCCATTAACGGGATCCTGGGGATTCCTCGGTCGAATGGCGAGAAGAGGAAACGTGATGAAGGTAGGGGGAGGGGAGAAGCTCATCCTCCCTTTTATATTCTTTGTCCCCATGTACAGGCTCCAATTTCAGGCCAAGGTTTGCAGCTGCTCCAGGGGCTAGATCAGTTTTAGCAACAGAGACCAGTTCCCCGCCACTGCCCTGCTGGCTTGGAATGCTCTTCTTCTGAGGCTTTTTCATGACAGGCTGCGTCTCCAGACATCTGCTCAGCAGGCAGAGAGCCGTCTCCATTGCTGGAGCTGATCCCAAGTTCATTCACTGCTGGAAACGGCTGGAACTGAACTCCCCAGGTGCCAGCAGGTGCCCAGACTTTGAACTGCGGGTAAACATGGTTACCCCAACTCACTCGTTTCAAACAAAATGCCATCTTGGAGAAGCACCAGCAATGTGGGAGCTATCTTTCATTCCCCTTGCAAACAAGTTCCCGCCCTCTGAAGTGCCATGAGCTATATTAGCTGGTGATTATAAGGGCACGGTTTTCAATGCGTAGCATCTACCACAGCAGAACTGCCATGCTTGCAATAGTCTGAAAGCAGAACAGGAGGTCTTCCGAGTACTGTGGCCCTGAGGTTGTTATCTAAACCTTTCACTAGGGCTCTAAGGAATTAGGATTAAGCTGTCTCCTTTTCCTTCCTATCTGCTGGGAAGGACTCAGAGCAAAGCGAATCCTGAAATGAGACAAAAGTTGGAGGTCTAGATAGACTGAGTCAGGATGGGTGGGTAAGGTCTTGGTGCTCTTATGGTGGCTTTGTAAACTTTTTTCCTTAAATCTTGTTCTTTTAATTTGATGCATTCAAAAATTGAGGGCCACGAGGTGAACTTTTCTAAGAGTAGTGTCTGACCAGTTTGTTCAGTACAGTCCTGCCTTCAGTATGTTGTTTTCTACTGTTGTCTGTTGCATGGGAGGAACCTCTTAGCAGCACTGGTGGCCCAGTGTGCTGTGTGTGCTGTAAGCCCAAGGCTGTGTGGTACAAGAGAACATGAGGATTCTCTGTGTGATATGTGGTGAGAAGAGAAAGTTCTCCTGAAATAGATGCTGCATTTTGGGGGTTTCCCAGTAATCTTCTCAGCATCGATTCTGGTGAGGTTCACATCTGTAAGTTTTTGATCCAAAGAAGCACAATAATCCCAAGGGGAAAAAAAAAAAAAAGGCAATAATCGTGACCCCTTTCTCCCTAATACAAAGTGAAACTAGAGGCAAGGACCCAATCCAGCTCCTGTTAAAGCAAGTGGGAAGATTTTTGCTGATGTCATTGGAAATTGGATCAGGCCCCAGAGGAAGATCCATTTCCCAGCTAGATGGCAGTAGGGCCCAGCTAAGAGAAAAGTATAGCAATGGAAGGGCTGAGTCAATGCCTCAAAGTCAAAAAATGTCAGGAATAAGAGATTGCAGATGTTGCAAACCCCTCCAGCATTTCCCATCATTACATATACAGCAAATAGTGACATTTCAAACTGAGTGACAAGTTTCTTTAATGTTTGTGCAAATCTCTTGGCAGTTATTTGGTGTTTTATTGAACCCCTGTTCTTATACAGTCCAGAGTGGTGATCACCAGCTCTCAACAAAGGGCCTCCGTATCTCATTTTGAAATTAAGCAGTTCAATCTGGCTTTGGTGGCCCCTCTTTCCAAATACCTAGAAAGATCATGCCACTTTAAATGTAGCCACACAGTCACTTCCAGACTCATAATTTGAGCTTTTCTGGAGCAGTACAATTAAACACAGAAACAACCAAGCAGCCATCTAAGACTCTGACACTTCGCAATAATATACTGACAGTAGGAACAACTCTCTGTTGTTGTCTGTCCTTAACTCATCCCAGATTTGATTTATGAAGGGCAAGCAATACTCTGCAACTCTCTGCTGTTGGCACTAGGAATCGAAACAGTACCAGACAATCCTGGAGACGTTGCTTGCCTTTGGTTCTCAAGTGTTTTAGGCAGCAGTTACATGACACAGCTGCAACTACCTTAGAGAACAGACTTCATCTTGCCATCCCAGATACCTCCTGCAGGGAGATGTTGCACTCCTGTCCCAGAAAAACCTCACATGGGACCCCCTGCCAGCTGCTGAACACCCCTACACAAGGGCTGAGTTATCTGGGCTCACTGGCCTTAAGAAATGCTGAAAGACATCATCACTTTGCAGGGTTGGGTCCTAAGGCTAGAAGGGTCCATGGCGGGGTTTGCACAGCCAGTGACCTGCACTCACTCCTGGGCAATCTCCCCTGTAGCAATGAGGACTGTTCTTGTTCATAGCTGCGATGGGGATCAGGAAAGCCTGGCAAGAAATCCAGTGCAGGTATTTCTTTCATGCTCTTGCTGGATGCATACACCTCCTCAGTATTTCCCAGAGCTTCTGAGCACTGTTCTGTTGCAGTTTCTTAACTGTAGGGTTTATTCTTGTGTTGAAAAGCCCTTATGAGCTCCCAATGCACATCCACTTCCCCAGAATTTTGGGGATGGCTCTTCCCTAAAGGAGGCAGAAGAAGCAGCACTGCTGTCTCTTTTCTTTCCGCTCTGTTGGACCAGCTCTGCTGCAAGGATTCCTCTGTGAGGAATGCAGTTCAGCAGAAAGGGGGAAGTACCAAGCTGCTCCTGAATCCCTGGTTCTGAAAACCTTGTTAGCAACCTCTGTGATGGCTGGGGGGAACAGGATGGGAGAAAGACAGAGGAGCCTCTATCCGAGCACACCCCCTCCCCCAGGTCCTCGTTGCTGCAGCTGGTGCCTACATTAGACAGTAGCTCAGATGATTAAGAAGAGGAGAGATAATTATGTGTCAAGATGATGTAGCAGAACTCCTGAGTTGGACAGAAGGAGCCAGACAGATGCATGAGGTGGGCGCAGCGATGGACGCTGACAGCCAGGTGTGTCCCTCACAGGAGTTAGAGGGAAGAGGGAAAATACCAACCTACCAAATTTGCTGGTTATGTCTGCAAGGGTAGCCTGGGAAGACTATGGCAGTCAGAGAGAGCTAGCAGGGAGGTAGCTTTGAGTGCCTACTAGTCACAACAGGGAACTCTCAGATCACAAGTCTTTCCTCAAAACTCAGTGTGTTTTTGCTCAGGTTAATGCTTAGGAAGGATGGTCAGGATTTGCCCTGTTAAGACTATGTATTCCTTTTGTTTCCATTTTTGACCAATGGTTGTAAACCCTCTGACTTCTGTGTCAGATTAGACAAAGCAGAGAATTGGTCCCCTATGATTTTAAAAATAATCTGGCTAAAAAAGTTCACCACCTCTTGCGTAGCACAGCGTATGCTACTTCACGCAGTCTATGGGCACTGCCAGTGCTGCTGTTATTTCCCTCTGACCTTCCCCACTGTTTGTTTACACACACCATCTTCCAGAGGCAGAAGCGGCCCTGCAGCATGTAATAACCTTCCCAAGACCACTGAGGGTCTTGCAGTATCAAGCTGCAGCTGGAAACAGGAATTCCTGGCTTTTTACAATCCTAATGCTGTACTATGCTGTGAAAGCAGGCCAAGCTCAGCAGGCTCACTGTCAGACTAAGAAGCAGCAATAAGAAGTCCAGAAGGATAAAGGAGCAACATAATATGCAAATATTTCTGTTGTTGCATAATCCCATATGCTTTAGATGATAGCTAAAAGAATGAGAACTGGGGTAGCTTGGAAGCACTAACAAAAAACTAGTATCATTCAAACTGTAGTCTTGAGTACTCTATAAGGAGAAAAAGGGAGAGATGAAGAGAAAGGGAAGGATGGATAGATAGCTGGATAGATGGATGGATGGATGGATGGATGGACAGACAATTAGAAAATATGAAAACAATATTTCAAACTGTCCTTGCACACCACAGGATCTCCAGCTGGGTGAAACTTTTGGGATCTTTACAAAACCATTCTTACTAGAGATTAGAGAGACCTCTTTCTCTCCATAGCAGGCCACAGACCTCCTCTATAGACCCAAATTCTGATTTGGGATTCGTCTTCCAATGAGGCTGGTGCTGTAACATTCTCAGCATCATTAATCTTGGTCCCTGACAGTATCTGTAGTATTTGACAGCATTACTGGCAGTAATATCTGCAGTGCTGACAATGGCAGAGATAATATCCCCCAGTATTATTGGCATTAGCTGGGATCATATCTGCAGCCTGTTATTGGTGGGAGCAGACATAATGTGTCCAGTATTATTAGTATCAGTAGTAATAAAACTCACAGGCCTGTTAGTATGATCAGTGCTAATATCAGCAGTAGGTTTGTGGAAGAGGTGGGGACAGAGTGATTACTACTGTAAATGGCAGTAATACTCAGGCTGTTTGCAGTAAAGGAATCCCCAGTGGAGATGGGGGAGCAAACCTGAGAAAGCAGAAGTTCCTCCTTTCCTTTCTTCACCTGGGGATCTGATGATTAAAGTGATTTACATTGAAGTAAGCAATGCAGGGCTGTGTCAGTGCAGGACAGTAAAGGGTCACCAACATTTTGGCAGGCCTGTGATGGTGATGTTTTTCAAAGAGTCTTAGCTGTATCAGTGCAGGTGGCTCACTGTACACTTCAAAATGGGGTTGAGCTATGCAGAATAGGGTGCTGCCTACTAGCAGTGGGAGCACTTGCACTGTTAGTCATGTAGCTGCAGGATAGTCAGCATAACTGCCCTTCTCATTGGTGCTACATGCATAATTCTCTGACATTACCACAACACCCTCTACTGAGAAGCACTGCTTTTGTTACAGGTGGTTTTCTCTTCCCCCACTCCGGATGGGAAGGCTCTGACTGTAGGGCAGGGGTTTGGCAGTGTTCAGCTTGGGGATTTTCCTGCCTGGCCATGATCTTGATTTCTTACCAGGAAAGTAGAAATGCCTCCTTCAGGTGGAGTGTAGGGCAGGGAGCAGTCCCAGTCCTGAAAGTAGGGGTTTTTTAATACTGCCCCAGGACATAGACTGTCTTGAAGAAACTCAACTGTTTAAGTGGAAAATAGTGCAGAAAGATGTGTAATGTGTTTAAGGCCTGAGGTTTTGAGCAGATACACAGCAGCTGAGTGT